TTCAACTCAGGTGAGCGTCAAGCTCAATTTTAACGAACCTCGCGTTCGTTCTAAGGTGAACATCGCGTTCATTAAAACCGTCAGATCTGATCGTGGTGGTGAGTACTACGGTAGATATGATGGTTCAGGTGAACAACGTCCAGGACCATTTGCTAGATACCTAGAGGAATGCGGTATCGTCCCACAGTACACTATGCCGGGTTCACCTAGCATGAATGGTGTAGCTGAAAGACGAAACAGGACTCTTAAGGATATGGTAAGAAGTATGATTGCTCATTCTTCTTTACCAGAGTCACTCTGGGGAGAAGCACTTAAGACAGCAGCTTACATTCTGAATAGAGTACCAAGTAAAGCAGTTGCTAAAACACCTTATGAGCTTTGGACTGGTCGAAAGCCCAGTTTAAAGCATTTACATATTTGGGGATGTCCAGCTGAGGCAAGGCCTTATAGGCCAAATGAAAAGAAATTGGACTCCAAAACAGTTAGCAGCTACTTTATTGGGTACCCTGATCGCTCTAGGGGCTATAAGTTTTATGATCCCACTATAAGGAATATTTTTGAGACGGGAACAGCAACATTCTTTGAGGATGTTGAGTTTGGGGGGAGAAATAAGGTTAGAGACATTAGTTTTGAGGAGGAATTGGCTTCAGATCCAATCCATACAGTTACTTTTGACAATATTCAGGTTCCTATACCTGTTGTTGCTCAAGAAGTAAATCCGGAACCTCAAGATGATAATGTTGAACAACTCCCTGTTCCAGAAGAACAAACTCAACAACCTCAAGAACCAGTGCCATTAAGGAGATCCACGAGAGAAAGGAGAAATGCTATTCCGGATGATTATATTGTATTTCTCCAAGAACATGAGGAAAGTAGTGGAATGTTAGAAGATGATCCAATCAACTTCTCTCAGGCCATGAAAAGTTCTAACTCTCAACAGTGGATTGATGCCATGAATGAAGAGTATAAGTCTATGCAAGACAATAAGGTTTGGGAACTTGTCCCATTGCCAGAAGGTGCAAAACCAATTGGTTGTAAATGGATTTTTAAAACCAAGCGGGATGCAAATGGTAATGTGGAGAGGTATAAGGCACGTCTTGTGGCTAAAGGCTATACTCAAAAGGAAGGCATTGATTATACAGAGACTTTCTCTCCGGTTTCATCGAAAGACTCTTTCAGAATAATCATGGCACTTGTTGCTCATTATGATCTTGAGTTACATCAGATGGATGTTAAGACTGCATTTCTCAATGGAGACATTGATGAGATGATTTATATGGTGCAACCAGAAAACTTTGTGTCAGGAGACCCAAAGAATATGGTTTGCAAATTAAGGAAATCCATCTATGGACTCAAGCAAGCTCCTCGTCAATGGTATCATAAGTTTCAACAAATAGTTATCTCGTTCGGTTTTGAGATGAACATTGTTGATGACTGTGTATATCACAAGTTCAGTGGGAGTAAGTATATTTTTCTGGTTCTGTATGTCGATGACATCTTGCTTGCCACTAATGATATAGGCATGTTGCACGAAACCAAGAGATTTCTATCAAAGAATTTTGAGATGAAAGATCTTGGGGACGCCTCTTTTATATTAGGGATCCAGATACATCGAGATCGCTCTCGGGGTATTCTTGGATTATCACAAAAGAGCTATATCGATAAGGTACTTAAAAGGTTTGGCATGCAAGATTGCAGACCAGGTGACACCCCTGTTGCTAAAGGAGACAAGTTTAGTCTCAATCAGTGCCCTAAAGGTAACCTTGAAATTCAGGAAATGCAGAAGATTCCTTATGCTTCGGCTGTAGGAAGTCTAATGTATGCTCAGGTATGTACGCGTCCGGATATTGCGTACATTGTTGGGATGTTAGGCAGATACTTAAGCAACCCTGGTATGGATCATTGGATAGCAGTCAAAAGGGTTATGAGGTATCTTCAGAAAACAAAAGATTACATGCTCACATACAGAAAATCAGAAAAATTAGAGGTCATTGGGTATTCGGATTCTGATTTTGCTGGATGCCAAGATAGCAGAAAGTCTACATCAGGCAACATTTATATGTTAGCAGGAGGAGCTATATCATGGAAAAGTGTCAAACAAACACTAGTAGCTTCCTCCACTATGTCAGCAGAATTTGTAGCTTGCTATGAGACATCCAATCAGGGAATATGGCTGCGAAACTTTGTCACGGGACTGTACATTTTGGAAAATGTTGAAAGACCACTAAGGTTATATTGTGACAATAAATCTGTAGTAATGTATTCCAATAACAACATGAGCTCAACTAAGTCAAAACATATTGACATTAAGTTCTTGGTTGTGAAAGAAAGGGTACAGAGTGGACAAATATCTATAGAGCACATTGGAACAAACTCCATGATAGCTGATCCTCTTACTAAAGGACTGCCACCTAAGGTCTTTCATGAGCATACTGCTCATATGGGTGTGGTATTATTTGAGGATATTATGTTTTAGTGGGAGTTTGTAATTGTGGTGTTTTATGTTTGGTTGTATTGTCTGATCAGAATAAAGTATTCAGTTAAGACACTCTGTTACATTATGTTTGGTTTTGACCTCACTAAGGAGGACCAGTTAAAAATAGACATGTACTGATCACATTGCATGTAATTTTCATGCTGCACATCCATGATTGATCTATGTCGTTTGATTGTATTGGTATATGTGACCATTGATGGGTCGAGTCACGATAAATGTGACGAAGGCCGCTTTGATCCTATATTGATATAGTCAATGGACGAGATTGTTCGAAAATACCTTTTCAGTGATAGCAATTTTTGAGCTCATAAGGTTATACACAATTTAAGGAATCATATGGTGCCCAAGTGGGAGATTGTTGGATTTAATCTAATAAATCTATTTGTGGGCACATATGATTAATCAATGTGTATTGCTATCTTTCAGGATAACCCACTAAAGTGATCAATTAAGTTGGGTTAATGGGTATTTAAATATAATCATGAGGTTATATGTGTAGATACCAGGTTGTAATTGTGATTTATTGAGGGGCTAAATTACAAAAGTACAACATCTATAAATAAAGGGTTATGGTCCCTAACCTAGGGTTACATTCTCTAATTCTCTACACCCTCATCTAGCTAGAGAAATTCGGATTTAGAGAAACCCTAAGGTTAGAAGATCCAAAACCCATCTCAAGGTTCATCCATGGATTCAGGTATAAGCTTCCGCTCTTTTGATTATTGTTAATCTCTTTGAATTAATCATGGCTATATGGTTTTAGATCTTAAGTTTTGGTTTAGATCTAACATGAGAAAGAACAAAGACATGTGACACTAAATATGCATAGATTTAATTGTTTCCTTGTTTTATCATCATGAGTATGAATACCAACTTTTGATATTATAAACTAGTATTGTTAATCCAGCTAAGTCTTATGTAATTTATTATCTGCTTGATTTTTCTTTCCATGTGTTTGAAGTTTTATCAGGCCCCGAGCATTAAACAAGTCTCGAGTGTTAAAAAAAAATGACCGTGAAAATTATAATTTTATAATATTACAATGACAACAAGATTGTAATATTAGGCCATATGCATTCAGGGTAAAACATTGAAACATATATGAGCATATATATAAGTTTTAGGAACTTCAATTTTGACTTGCACAGTCTATAATAAATGATCATTTTCTCTTTTGATACATAAAATCTTTAAACTTTTTGGAATTAATATATTTTAGGTGGAGGCGGGTTGGAGGGGAGGGGAAATACAGCAGGCTCACTAATACATAAATTTGTGCATCGGGCTAAAACTATTATGTGTAGTCGGCTATCACTGCTCAATCTTTTACCCATTTTTAGAAAAGTTTTTTCAAAATGTCTGGCAATGGTAATTCTATAATTAAAAATTTTCTGTAGATTTACGTAAACTGTGTTTGATTTAAAAAAATTTACAGAAATATTTTCTGTAAAGTACAAAAAATACCAAAAGTTACAGAAATCAAAATCCTCTCAAAATGGGCGAAAATCACCCAGAAATCTGACACCACATTAACACTTTTCTATAAAGTTAACACTTTTCTAAAAATTTAAGGGGGTGTTTGGTTTAATTTCTACAAATTATAGAAAATCTTGCTATTTTCTGTAAAGTTATGTGCCATTTTTTGTTTTGAACCAAACAAGCAAAGTAAAAAAATAAGAAAATTAATACTTTTTGACTTTTCAAAATTTGTGTTATATTTTATAAATAAATACAAGAAAAATCATATTTTGGATGGAAAACATTTCCTATAATTTATAGAAATTGAACCAAACACCCCCTAGTAGAACGAATTATCTCACAACTAATTTGCTAAGCTGAAAACCAAATCGAACCCGAATTCACATTTTCTTACCCGCACAAACAAATAGAAAATATTATTTTTTATCCTTCTTTTTTGTATTAGTCCCTTAAATCATCAGTGGTTTGTCTTAGTCCCCCAAATTTTCATATATTGATATCACTCCCCCAAATTCACACACACATACTATTTTACCCAACTAATTCCACTTTTTATGGAATGGAACTTTGTACCCTCACTCTTAATATCCAAACTCACATGCCCGTTAAACTTAATAAACCCGATAAGATCCCAAGCTGACCCTATTTCACATACCATCTTCTTCAACAGTTGAGATCAAGATTAGAGCAACCACTTTCTTTTTTGCGGAAGAGAGCGGACAATGAAGAGAGAACAGAGAAAGAGGGGGAATAACTATTGGTTGAGTGAATTAAATGAGTAGGTGGTATTTTGGTAAGTAAACACCCATTGTTAGTTTAGATCTAACCAGAGGGGAACATTTTGAACCGAGAACCTAACAGAGGGACTAGTATCAACATATTTACGCATTAGCAGATTAACATTGAAATATGAAGATTTGGAGGAGGACGGATATCAAAGCACTGATAAATTAAGGACTAACATTGAAAAAGTTGATAGGGGCCATAAATTCCTCAGATTATTGACAAGTCAATGGAGACATTTCAATAATCCGACAACATCTCAAGACATATGTCGGAAGTAACCGAAAGTATGATAATCCTAAACCCAAGAAGGCGGGTCCGTAGCGGTGTTGTGCCGGGGAAGCTGAACGAGAGGAAATCAAAACCCTAAACCCTAAAAAAATAATCCTCACCAAAATTTTTGCCAATCCGTCTCAAATGCTCAGGTACCGCTCCTCCCCTGTAAAATCTCTTCCCTTTTGCCGACGATTCTTCTCCAGTCGAACCCCCAGCCTCCCCAGATCCCAGCTCGTCGATCGCCTCTCCCTAATCCTAACCCTAGAGCGCTTCGACGCCATCTCCAGCCTCCCCTTCACCTTCTCCGACGAGCTCCTCGACTCCGTCCTCTCCAACCTCCGCCTGAACCCTAACGCCTCCTTGCACTTCTTCGACCTCTCTCTGACCCACCAAAATTTCAAGCCCAGCCTCACCTCCTACTGCAAGATCATCCACATCTTGTCCAACGCCCGCATGTTCGACGCCGCCCGAAAATATTTGAAGCATTTGGTCAGATTTTCTAACCCTGTTGTTTTCGATGAAGTTGTTGGGGTTTATAAGGAGTTTGAATTTTCTCCTACTGTTTTCGATATGCTTTTGAAAGCTTATGTTGAGGTTGGGTTGGTGAAGGAGGCCCTTTTTGTGTTTGATAATATGGGTAAGTATGGGAGAGTCCCGAGCTTGAGGTCTTGTAACGGGCTTTTGAGTAGGTTGGTTAGAGCTGGGGAGAGTCGGACTGCCATTCTGGTGTATGAGCAGATGACCCGGACTGGGATTTCGCCTGATGTTTTTACTGTGTCGATAATGGTTAATGCTTATTGTAGGGATGGGCAGGTTAGCAGAGCTCGGGGTTTTATCGAGAAAATGGAGAGGAACGGTTTTGACGTGAACCGAGTTGCCTTCCACACTCTGATCGATGGATACTGTAGTTTGGGGCAGACGGAAGAGGCATCTGGGGTTGTTGAGTTGATGTCCGCGAGGGGGGTAGTACCGGATGTCAGGACTTGTACATTGTTGATCAAGGGTTTCTGCATTAAAGGGGTTTTTGAAGAAGCTGAAAAACTTCTAAACAACATGAAGGAGATGACGGGCTTAGAGCCTGATGAAGTTTCTCATGGTGTGCTGATAAATGCATATTGCGTGTTAGGAAAGATGGATGATGCCATCAGGATTCGCGACAAGATGTTGAAAATTGGACTTAAGATGAACTTATTCATATTTAATGCTATGATTAAGGGTTACTGCAAGGCAGGAAATATTGGAGGAGCAGAGAAATTGGTGAGTGAGATGGAAGTGGGTTATGTGAAACCGGATTCGTACAGTTACAATTCACTTTTAGATGGATATTGCAAAGAAGGTCTCATGAGCAAGGCGTTTTCAAGTTGCGGTAGAATGGCTGAGAAAGGCACCGTGTTGTCAGTTTTAACATATAATATCCTTCTAAAAGGCCTTTGTATGTGGGGTAATATCGATGATGCTCTTGGCTTGTGGTTTTCGATGCTAAAAAGGGGTATCATGCCCAATGAGATTACTTGTAGCACTCTACTAGATGGGTTTTTCAAAATGAATGATTCTAAACGGGCATTGAAGCTTTGGTATGATATTCTTGCTCGGGGGTTTGCAAAAAGCCATGTAACATTTAATACGGTGATCAGTGGGTTATGTAAGATGAAAAGAATGGATGATGCAGAGAAGATCTTTTGTAAGATGAAAGAATGGGGTTGTTGTCCTGACAGCTTGACTTATAGAACTCTTATAGATGGATACTGTAAAGTTTACGACATGGATAAAGCTTTTAAAATTAGGGATGAGATGCAAAATATTGGAATTTCACCTTCTATTGAAGTGTTTAACTCCCTCATTACTGGCCTTTTTAAGTCTGGGAAAAGTGGAAATGTGAACAATCTTCTAGTTGACATGCATACTAAGGGATTGGCTCCCAACATAGTGGCTTATGGAGCTCTAATAGCTGGTTGGTGTAGAGAAGGATGTACAGATAAAGCTTTTGATACATATTTTCAAATGGTCGATAAGGGGTTTTCTCCAAATTTGTACATATGTAGTGCTCTAATTAGTTGTTTCTATAGACAAGGTAAGATGGATGAGGCAAACTTGTTGCTGAGGAGAACAGTGGACACTAACATGTTTCCCCATCTTGATAGTTTTTTGAAGTCTTGTACCTACAAACAAAATAATCTCGAAATGGATAAAATTTTAGATCTCTTTGATGCAACTACGAATGGAAAGTTTCTGCCAAATAACATCATAGGTAATGTTGTTTTGTCTGGACTATGTAAGAGTGGAAGAATTCCAGATGCAAAACGATTTTACTCGGAAATGTTGCAGAGGGGATTTGTCGCTGACAAGTTTACTTACTGTTCCCTTATCCATGGGTATTCAGTATCTGGCAAAAATGATGAAGCTTTCGAGTTTCGGGATGAGATGCTTAAGAAGGGTCTGATTCCAGATATTATAGCATACAATTCTCTTCTTGATGGCTTGTGCAAGTCCGGGAATTTGGATAGAGCAGCCAAACTTTTTAATAAACTGTGTGTGAAAGGTCTAACTCCTAATGTGATTACATTCAATACAATAATAGGTGGGTATTGCAAGGCTGGTAATCTCACTGAAGCATTTAAGTTTAAACAAAAGATGATAGAAGAAGGGGTCATTCCTAATGTTGTCACATATTCTACACTGATCAATGGTTTGTGTATGCAAGGGGAGACAGAGGAATCATTGAAGCTTCTGGGTCAGATGATTGAGGGTGGTGTGGACCCAAATTATGTGACATATAGTACGCTGGTCCACAGCTATATAAGGTGTAGGAACTTGCAGCAGGTCTCAAGGCTCTATGATCAGATGCATATCCGTGGGCTTCTTCCAGAAGTGGGTTTGAGAAGA